TGTGGTGCTGGGGGATTGAACCGCGGTCCCTGTGCTTTGTTTAGTTTAGCTTGTTCTAAATAGGTGCTTTAGACCACTGAGCCATCTCACCAGCCCCGATGAGACACTTTGTATCAAAGTATTTTTAAACTTTTTGACAGAGCACATTGGGAAATATTTGCATGCTAGATAAAGATTTAGCTCTAGAATTTGACTTAATTCAAATCGTGCCGCCTCTTGTTAGAAAGTATATGAACATGAAGTCTACTTTAAATGACATCTCTTAGGCTTAAGACTATCCAGAAACACTTAAAAAATACCTTCTTCCTATTTGTATGGCCAGTTTGTAGCCATGTTGAGATGATTAAATCTGTCATAAGTTCCCAAAACTTCCTGAGCCTTACATGTCATAAATTTGTTACTTTTTTAAATGTACTTTTCATGTTCTTTTTTATTTTTTTTGGTGGAACTGGGGATTGAACTCAGGCCCTTGCACTTGCCAGGGAAGTGCTTATTCCACTGAGCCATCACCCCGGCCCCAAATTGTAAATTTCTGAGGACACTCCACACTGATTTCCACAGTGGTTTCACTATTCTGCACTCCTATCAACAGTGGAAAAGGGTTCCTGTTTCCTCATAGCCCATCCATTTGTTATTGGTTGATTTTTTTTTTTAATGTATGCATGCTTTTTTAAGTTTATTTATTTTGTGTGTGTGTGTGTGTGTGTGGCCAGCTCAGCCCACCAGGGGGCGGGGCTGGCTGGCATGTGGTGCTGGGGGATTGAACCGTGGTCCCTGTGCTTTGCTAAGCTTGTTCTAAGTAGGTGCTTTAGACCACTGAGCCATCTCCTCAGTCCCTAATGGTTGATTTTTGATACCATTCTTTCCAGGATGAGATGGCATCTCGCTGTTGTTTTAATTTGCATCTCTGGGATGACCAGTGATATTAAACTTTTTTTATATATTTATTTGCTGTTTGTATTTCTTCATCTCTATCTTTAAATTTGAGAGGTCTGATTGATTTGTTTGTGGTACCAGGAGTCTGGCTCACAACTTCACACTTGCTAGGCAGGACCTGTGCTGCTGAGCTAGATCCAGCCTCAAGTCTGATTTTTTTTTTTTTTTTTTTTTTAGTTCTTTATATGTTCTCAATAGTAATCTTTTAAAGAATAGCTAGCAAACATTTTTTCTTACACTGTGAGTTGTCTCCTCACTCTCTTGGTGATTTCTCTTGCTGTGCAAAAGCTCTTCTCTTAGTAAAGTGAGACCCTAGTTGTTCCTTGTGATAGTTCCTGTGCAGTTGCAGTTTTATTCATAAAGTTGTTCTGTTGCCTAAACCAGTGTCTTCAAGAGTTTTACCTATCAATCTTTGATCCATTTTGAATTTTGTTTAGTGCATGGTGACAGATACAGTCCAATCTTAATCTTCAGCATGGGCAGAGCCAGTTTTTCCAGTACTATTTATTTATTTAAAGAATACAAAATAGTGATAGGAAAAAAAATTAGAAACAATACAAGATTTCACTAAACAAAGTAATAGTAATTCAACAATGGTTGCTGTATTACATGATGCTATCTTTAAGTTAGTTGTTCAGATTACCAGTTATAAATGTGTAAGATTCATTTAAAGAAGAAAAAAGGCTGGGGGACGGGGAGCTAGCTCAGTAGAATAAGCGCTTGTCTAGCAAGCACAAAGGCCTGTGTTGAATTCCTAGTTCCGCCAAAAAAAAAAAAAAAAAAAAAAACAAGGTATAAGAAATTCAAAAGAGGGGGAAAAAAAGATTATAGAGTAAAAAAAATTTTGTTTAGTGTTAATTGCTCCTTTCGAAAGACCACAAATCCACAATACAGTTATCCAAACTATTCTGCATATAAAGCTAAATATATTTTCCCCTTTCACTTGTCCTTTTCTTCATCCCAGTTTTTCCTTGCAGATGAACAATTTCCCTTTCACAGTATCCATTGTACCTTTCAGACTTTCATTACTGTTTCAGGTTCTCATAACAGCAAGAGAATACGATATTTGTACATGTGGATATGATTTATTTCACTTCCCAATATAGTTTCTAGCTGTGTCCATCTATCTAAAAAAGCCTCAAATTTATCTTTTTTATAGCTGATTAATACTCCATTGTGTAAAAATACCATATCTATTTTATCCTTTCCTTAGTTGCTGGGTATTTGGGTTTTTTCCAAGATTTAACTATGACAAATTGTGCTGCTATAAACATGGGTGCACATACATCGCTGTGGTATGGTGATTTCAGTTCTTTTGGAAAAATGCCTAGGAGGGGAGTAGCTGGCTTGAGTGGAACTCCAATCCTAGCTTTTTGAGGAATCTCCACACTGATTTCCATAATGGTTATGATACAGGGGAAATGAAATTCCCTCCCAACCCGAAAGAAACCTGGGATGAGTTCATGTTTTCTAAAACCAAAGAATGAATTTTAAGAACTCATAGAGGTTAAGAGCAGAATATATTTATCAGGGGGAAAAAAAGCTGTCTGAGAGAGGGACAGAAGAGAGATCTGAGTGGGTTGTCCCCGGGAAGCTTTCTCTTCCAGGGAATTTTATAGAGTAAAACCATGTGGTGAGGTGGGTCTAAGGTGGATAACATGGGGACTTGCTTAGGTGGGCATGAAGTGGAACAAAATTATGAGATTACAAGCACCATTACTGAAGTAAAATTGATAAAGTCCAGGACCAAATGGGGAAGTGAGTCACGTAACAAGTGGGCAACAATGAACAGGAGTTTATCCAGTAGTCAGCCACTTCTTGGCTTCACTTTAGAGAGGTAAACATTTTTTTGATCCTTGGTCCCTAGACCTGGACCACAGCAGCAACATCTGTCTCTCTCACAGTTGCAACATATCTTGTCTTCCATGCTGTCTCCTTGAGGGAGGGCCTAGCCCTGTCTGACTTTCTATAATATTTCTATTTAGCTGCCTACAGCAGTTGTATTAGCCTGCACTCTCACCAATAATGATGGTTTGTTTTTCCCCACAGCCTATCCAGCATTTCTTATTGGTTAACTTCTTGATGATAGCCATTTGCCTCTCCTTTGTTTTTTTTTTTTTTTTTTTTGTGGAACTGAGGATTGAACTCCGACTCTTGTGCTTGCCAGAGAAGCGCTTATTCTACTGATCCCTCTCCCCACCCCTGCCTCTCTTGAATGACTAATGATGTTGAGTGTTTTTTTCATGAATTTGTCATTTGTATCTCTTCATTTGTGAAGTGTATTTTTTATTGTTTTCTGGGTTTTTTTTTTTTTTAGGGGTTTTTTGTATTACAGGGTATTTTAGGGGTATTACAGGGTGTTCAGGGTCTTAATAGTAGAATGGACTCATAGTGATCCGCCTGTTTACAGCCTGCCAAGAGCTGGGATTACAGGCACATGCCACCATGCCCAGTCTCAATTGCCATCTCAGCACACCCTGGGGGTGGGTCTGGCACAGCAGGCCCAGGGATTGAACTCCGGGCACTGTGCCTGCTTGCAGGCACTTTAATCTGCTAAGCTATTTGGCTGGCCCTTGGTTGGTTGATTTGTTTGTTCGTTTTTGCAGTACCAGGGATCAAACTCTGGACCTTTTGCTTGCCAGGCAGGTGCTTATACCACTGAGCTATCTTCCTGGCTCTGTGAAGTGTATATTCATCTCACATGCCCATTTTACATTTTGGAAGCCTGATTTTAGAGGCCATCTTTCTTCCAGTGAATGTGTTTGGCACCTTTGTCAAAGATAAAGTCGCTGAGTTTATTTATTTGGCGGAACTGGGGATTGAACTCAGGTCCTTGTACTTGCCAAGCAAGTGCTTATTCTACTGAGCCGTCTCCCCGGCCCCCCAGGTGGCTGAGTTTGTGTGGAGTTGTTTCTACATCTTCTAGTCTGTTCCACTGATACTTAGATCTGTGGGTTTTTCGTTTTTTGGTTTTTTTTCCATGTATTTCTAGTACATAAGTATTCAGCACTCAAAAGACTATGGCAGGGGCCGGGGAGATGGCTCAGTGGAATAAGTGCTTCCCTGAAAGCGCAAGTGCCTGAGTTCAATCCCCGGTTCCGCAAAAAAAAAAAAAGAAAAAAAAAGAATCAAAAGACTATGGCAGGAAGCCTGCCACAAGTTCAAGGCCATCCTGGGCTATATGGTGAGTTTAGTGCCAGTCTGAACTACATAGTGAGATCCTGTCTCAAAAAAAAGAATTGGAAGTTTTGAAATTTTAATTTTTAATAACTAAAATAAACTTTCCCAAAGCCTTAAGAAAAAAAAAAGAAGAAGAAGAATTATTCTTGTAATTGTAGCATTTCACTTTTCAAAAGTTTTGGGTCTTTTTCAGTGATGGGAACATGTTTTCAAGATTGCTAGAAGCAAGTGCTCTGTTCCTAAGCCACATCTGTAGCCTATAAAATAGTGTTTATCACACTAACTTTTGTAGTCTCATTTCCTAATGAAATTATTTAGTTTGCAGTCCTGTATTTAATTCCTCAAGTTTTCTTTTTTTGTGTGTGTGGATGGGGTGGGACTGGCAATCCCAGTGCTGTCTTTAATTCCTTATTAAACTTTTCCTAAAAAAAATTTTTAAAAATCAAAAACCTTTTCCTGTTTTTGGTCAGATTTGCTTCCGTTTTTGATGATTGATGACTGATGATCGCTTCCTTCAAATAATCCATCAGGAGCCCAGCATGGTGGCATGTGCCTGTAATCCCTGTGCTCTGTGAGGCCGAGGCAGGATTGAACATTCCAGCCTAAACTGGAGAATTTAATCACTGAGCAAGATCCTATCTCAGAATTTTTTAAAAGGGGCTATAGATCAGTTGAATGCCTTGGATTCAGTTCCCAGTACTGAAGAAAATGGAGAGATACAGATGTATCCGGTATTAGAATCCATTAAAACTTTCTGGTTTTGGGGCTGGTGAGATGGCTCAGTGGTCTAAAGCACCTACTTAGAACAAGCTTAGCAAAGCACAGAGACCTCGGTTCAATCCCCCAGCACCACTTGCCAGCCAGCCCTGCCCCCTGGTGGGCTGAGCTGGCCACACACACACACAGACACAGACACACACACATAAATAAATAAATAAAATTTAAAAAAAAACAAACAACTTTCTGGTTTTCACAGAAATAAACTAGTAAGTTCAGGGGCCAGGGATATAGTTCAGTGGCATAAGTGCCTGCCTGGCAGGTG